TTTGTAAGAAAATAATGTTTTAATTTTTTTCATTTTAATTAGCAATTGAAAGAAAGTTCCCAGAAGGAACTCCTGCATCGGTCTCCAACTGATAAGCATTTCAATGACTGTGGAGAGTTAGGAATGTTGCAGATCTAGAGTCTATTCACAAATTATCCAGGGACATCTTTAACCACACCTTGCCTACCTCTGTTTCTGAATTAACATTCTTGTGAATGATAAAATGTATTAACTTAGCAAACCACCAGATCCCACCAATCAAAAGGCTAAGAATGTGATCAGATAGCATCTGAGACCTATAGTAGAAACCACACCCCAGTTTGCTATGACCTGCCTACCGAATGTAAACACCAATGTATTTGAAAAGTGTGATTTATGACTTTTCTTTGTTCTGTTACTATAAAAACGTAATGTAATTGTTACTGCGCTGGAACATGGAATTTGGGGTAATCTGACTGTGTTCCCGGGCCACGGTCACTCATATTTGGCTCCAGAATAAACTGCCTCTTATCCCCTTTGACGTGCAAGTTATGCTTTTGCATCGACAGTAACTATCATTTAACATTTTAAACAGTCTCATAAACAATGATCCAAAAATTGAAAGTATAAGACCTGTAAAGCCCAACAATGGGAACGATCTAAAAAGATATTACAATTTGAATGTGAACTGGCTCCCACAGACCCATGCACCTAAGAGTTCACCACCATCTGGTGGTACTGTTTTAGGAAGTTGTAGAAGCTTTTGGACCTGGGGCTACCTAGCAGATGTGAGGCTTTACAGCCAGGACTTATGGGTGGTAGCCCAGCTCTACTTCAGGTCTGAGGTCTCTGATTCCTGACTGACCATAAGACAAGCTGCCTCACTCATCCACCATGGAAAGGTACCATTTTTACTACCATGATGCCATGCGTTTGCAGCCATGTAAACGTGAGCTTCCTCCAGCAAGGCTCTACTTCCTGAAGGTTCTACAACTTTCCCAGGCAGAACCACCAGCTGAGGACCAGGTGTTCACATACGTGAGCCCATGGAGATATTTCACAAACTGCAGTGGTGACCAACCCAAAAGTATACAAAAAGCTGCCACCAAAGGAAAATTTGTAGCCCTAAGTACTCCATTAATAAATAAGGATGAATAAACATAAAATGTTTAGGGACTGGAGAGATGGCTCAGTGATTAAGAGCACTGGTGGCTCTTGCAGAGGACCTGGGTTCAATTCCCAGCACCCACAAGGCCGCTAACAACCATCCATAACTCCAGTTCCAGGGATCTGATGCCTTCTTCTGACCTCTGAGGGCATTGCACGACATGGGAGTATTACACACATGCAAGCAATACACTCATACACGTGTAATAAAAATAAATTAAAAATAAAATAAAATGTTTGATTCAAAAGCTAAGTAAAAACCAGGTTGGATGCTTAACAGTCTATGTGCCGCACTGGCGAACATCAAAAGGAATTAATATGTCTATTACTGGCAAGTTTGAGAGGGAAAAGTACTATTGGTGATCATGTAAATGGACATAATCTTGCTGGATGGATAAGCACCAAATTCCACTTTTACACACTTATTGTAATGATGGGTTTGCTCAGAGACCGAGTCTGGAACTTAAACCACAAAGCCTGTTAAACAGTTACATTTTTAACTGGAGAAAAAGAACTAATGTGAAGAACAAGAATAAGGCAATACCACTAAATGGTTCAGGGACCTATCGTTATAGTTACTATGTACCATGGTTACATTGACATGTCTCCTAGAGCCAGGACTACAGAGGGGAATTTTTACTACTTGTATCCGTAAGATTTTTCACATCAGTCCCTGTCCCTTACACAGTCTGCACACCCTATTTCAGTCACTTTAATGATAACATAAACAAAAGGTAGAACATTTTTCTATAAAAAATACCTTCCCATCTTAATACAATGCTTGTCAAAGAAGTCTCTGAAACCCTTATGGTATGCGCCACTGAATGTAGCCCCTCACATATCAATGAGCACGAGGATACGCATAATGGAGTCTATCGCCTGCTTGTTTCTTTATTGGGAAAACCATGGCATTCGCTATGTGTTAGACTTTCATTGCTGTGATGTGTCTGTGCAAAACGACTTAATGGAGGAAAATCTTTTGACTCGGATTTCATGTAAGGAGGGCGTGGTCGAGCAGAGTCGCTTCTATCACAGAGGTCAGGAAGCCGAGAGAGAAAGTGCTGGCACTCCGTGGCTTTTCCCTCTGTTACTCCACCCAGGCCCCCAGTCTTCAAGATGATGGCCACATTCAGGATGGGTCTACCCCTATTACCTAATTTTCTCTGGAATTTTCCTCACAGACATACCCAGAGATGTGCTCTGCTAATCTCCTAGGTATTTCTCGGTCCAACCCAGTTGACAATCGAGATTAAGCATTCTAAGTGCTGACAGAAGTGCAGTAGGTACAAGGCCTGGTTTCCATTTTTCGATGCCTTTTTACCTAGAAACCCGGCATCTCCTGACATACAAGCCTGCCTTCTTATCTTCAGTCTCATTCTCTGAAATGTTCTGGATCAATTTATTCGTACTACAGCAAGTTTATCTCGTAGAGTCTTCTCTTTAGAACAGTGACCAAAGTGACTATTGACATTTTTTTAAGGATGAAGAGAGATTTTCTTACATGCCTTAAAACCCAAACACTAATACAGCCTTCTAGTCCAGCCTGAAAAAATATCATGCCATTTGTACATGGTTACTGGAAAGCTAAAATTCTTCAATTGTTCTAAGTTCACAGCAGAAATTGAATCAAGAGTTGGTTGGATGGCTGATAGATGACAGATGATAGATGACAGATAGATAGATAGATAGATAGATAGATAGATAGA